ACAGAAACCTTGGGTACGGAATAGCAATTTATGTGGGAAAAAAAAATTAATTTAACTGAAGTTTTTGAACATTTTGATTACGTTTCATATTACTCAATATGATTTTGAAGGTTCGTGTAATGTAATAGAGCTTAAAGGCCTGGGTTAACTCGCGAATAAAGAAATTTATAGCCGCAAATATGGGAATTGGGTCGCATTTTTTTAATCCGCGAATAAAGGGAGCGCGAATAAAAAGCTTTAACTGTATTTAATTTACGCCACTTCAGTTATAAGGATGTGACATATTGGCGATGCAGTCATTTTGCGGTGTTGAAATATCAGATTTGCGTTAGAATAATTTAACAATTCTGAATTGTGAGCATAATGAAAGGCTCGCAAGTGTGGTTACTTCAAAAATTTGAAAACTGAAGCCACAAAAAAAAATATATAAATAGGGAAAGAAACGACGTCGCCACAGACAATATACACCTCGTGAGCGCCGACAAATTCTTTTTTTTTTTTTGCTCTAAATGAATTGTACTAATAATAATAATAATAATAATACAATAGCACATCACTCGATAACTGTGAATCATGTGTGACAACACTGGTGATACGATGTATGGATAGTACCAGGGGGGTAATCATATAAGCAAGCGACTATCGCCTTGATTATCAATCACCTGGTTTTTTTTAGGAGACAATTGGTTATCGGCAGTCAGGCACCATTGTCACCAGCTTTCCAATACTGCCACTCAAATTTTCCTTTGCATTGTATTAATAACTTAGAGAAACATAAAAAGTGAGAGCCAAATTGACGTTTGTTTGTTTTGTGTAAAGAAACCACATATGCAAACAATACAAGCATGCAAAAGGAAATGATTGGAAAACGATGCAGAATTTATGTTAGCCTATATTTAGCTTAATTTAGCTCCACATTTAAAAAAGAATTTCTACTTACTTTTACCAACTTTCTATCCTTTTTTTTGACAAAATGAACAAATGTAGTTTCGGAGACATTTAATTTGTTATTTTTTTTAAATATTTGCACTAATAATTCATTTAATATGACATTTTCGCTGATTTCCTCAGAAAAATATGTTTTTCTTTATATACTTTAAAATATATCTGAAATTGTTTCCCATAAACATTTTTAGGCACTAAGGCACTAAGGCACTAAGGCACCAAAATCACAAAACTTATTTTGTTCTCACACTTAGACGTACGTTTATCATAGGTATTTGGCGTAGTATAAGCTAATTTTATGTATCTATCTTTTCCATAAATATTGCTAGTTAAATGTAGTTTCAGTTATTTTTACGTAATGTTAACTCTTCTCATATATATGTTAATAGTTAAAGATTGGAAACACAGGGAGCCTATAAGGGATAAATCAGGACCGAAATGAGATACGGGAGAGTTGTCACATCCGAAATAAGTCCACTGACATCAATTAACGGATTTACGACCGCCAATTTGATTGTGAACAGAGGCCTATCGGCGAAGAAGATTACTCATTCTCTTCTTAGTGGATCGAACCGTTGTTTGAGTAACATCAACGAAATATAAGCGTAATTGATAACCATCCTTAGGTGAATTGCCCGCAGGGGAGACGATTAGGCATAGTTACTCTAGTTAACAGTTCGAATAATCTGACAACGATAGACGGTAGGTCGATTTATAATGTTTAAGAATTTTAATACTAATTTTTACGAAAGCGGACGGTTAGTTAGAGTTGATGCTAATTAAATGATTACTTAGCTAAAGTTAGTAAGAAATATAAAATGAAAACATTAAATGGTATCTGAGGAACACATTGGAATAAACGATTGGATTGTAAGGTCTCATGAGAATAACGTAATTTGACTCCACTTTCCGGTGGTCGTGGACCTCAAACATTTGTTACAGAATTTAAGATCGCACAGCTTAAGAAAACGTGGAAAAGCCGCTGAAGCATACATTGGCAACAGAAATAGATAATGTTTCCAAATAAAAAAAGCAACTATGTGTGCGTTTCCATGAGCTAAAATTAAAATCAGTTAATTAAAACACTTTAAAATTTCAATTTAAATTTAATTTGTAAATAAAAAATAAAAATTTTATTGTGCAAATAAGTTAAATAATATGTTTGGATGATTACAATCGATTTCTTTGAAAATAGTTTCGAATCATTAATCATTAAAGAAATTCTCCTGGAATTATAATTTTCTAAAACTTTATTACGTGAGCATGTGCTCACAATTTATTGCAGTACTACTCATTTAATCAGTTAGTGCCTAACGAAGCTTCAAAAATTTAAAATAATAAGACAAAGTACTCTCTTGACTTTACATCTAATATCTAAATATTAGCCAAGTTGATCAAATCTACCTCTCTTACCCCAATCATATTTCGATGACTGCACTCTTTCGTTTTCGCCCTATACTCATTTCCTTTCAGCTTGCTTTTATTTTTTAAAGGAAGCATGACTAAGAGGATGTACTGATCCTACAAGTCGTCGTTCCAACGGCAGGCCTCTAAGCAAAGGAAAAGTGGCGAATTTTCATCTACATTCCTTTCGCACGGTTTAATAATGCTATATATATATGTGAAAAGTTTTGCTCATAGGCCCACTGCATTCAAACGAAGTAAGCATGGTAAGCTTCTTCCAAGTAACTTTTTTATATCTACAACCACTTAATGTGATAAATAGCGCTCAAGTGATGCTCGTGTGTTTGAAATTTTTCAAGAATGTTCTCTAAATATTTGATGGAATTAAATTTCCCATTCTGTAAAAGCAGACTGGCTTATTTAGGCAAAAATTACTGTGCTGCAATGCAAATAAGTCCTTCGAATTATTCAAAAACTTGGAAACGTATTTCAAGCATAAGCTACTGTTGCTTACATCAAACCAAATATATTTTTATAGTAATATAGTATTAAGTATCAGCAATTAATGATAATAGAAATTTTCTCCTTTGTCATAAATAATTGAGAATTATAGAATATTATGCCAAGAAATGCTACGCCTCTAACTAAAATATGTTAAAAAGAAATTTGAATAAACAAATTTTTTGAAGTAATTTTTATTAAAAAGATTATATTTTCCATGAACATTAAGAAACGTTAAGATGAATTCTAGCTTTAATAATAATAGTAGACTGTTGGCTGTTGGTTCAAATCATATCATAAAGAGTAATGATTTTTGTAGTGAAGTCATGCTATGGCGCCAACTTTTGGCGTACAATAGCTTTATTAGTCAGCAAATTGATCTTAAATCCCGACAAACGAAAATTCAATTATATGCATCAAACAATTAAAATGAGAAAATTTTTTCGATATAACCTTTAGTAAATATCAATTTGAAATATCGGTTAAATATTATCACTTTATAAAAACTCGACCTAAAGGTAGTGTCAAGAGCATGCAGCTGCATGCTTGATGTGGCCTTCGCCTAGTGGATGGCTGTCCAATCGATAAAAGTCGTGCCTTTATCAACCGAGCACTTATTATAGTATAGTTATAAGAAAGTATGCTCCAGCGCACTGAGATTTGAACCCTGAAGCACTGACCTAATAGTTGCGATTCTTATTTCCATTATGAACTTTGAGGCGTATTTTGGAGGCAATTTGGAAAAAATTATGTACAACAAGGACGTCTTTTACGCCACGGCTGACGAGAAAACAAATTTGAAGCCCAGTAGACTTAAAAATTCCGCTTGCATGCTTATGTAAAGTTAGCAAAGTAAAAAGAACCACAAAGGATAAAATACTTGTAATTTTTTTACAAATTGTTAAGTCTCATCCGGTAGAAAGGCACGGTTCTTTAGCTGTAACAGAGTAGACAGACTTTTACAATATTCGCATGATTTCTAAAGCAACTTTGATAAACTAAAAACTTTATAAAGGAAACCAAGTCTTGCCATTTATTATCTATCGATTACATAGTAGTTATGTTGCGAAACTAATCCTGATTCGCTTTGAGCTGACATCCCATTGGATTCCCGTCACAAAATGAGGACCCACAGTAATCTATTCTATTAGGTGTTTGCAAAAATTTTTATCAGCGACTTCTACTGGTAAAAATGATAAACGAAAAGTTTTACTAGTATACGTAATGGATGAATTCAATGATTTTGACCTACCTGTACATAAGATAACAGCTTTCCATTTACTAGTACTGATTTATTCAGCGTACGCCGATGCTAATCATGGAGTGCTCAAAATTCTTCTTCTTGCAGATTCATTACTTTCGCTATTTATTTGAAAAAATCTGAGGCTTACAGTGATGTTGCTCCATCGTATGTCAATTGTCGGTCTTGGATTGAACGGTTAAAAAGTAACGATGCGAATAGACTGAAAATGCCATTTTTTGGCCACTTGTTGCAAGAGTGGTCCAGGATACACTGTGTCAGATCGAATGGGAAGTTCTGCTACACCCCGTGAACCCCCAGTCAAGTGCATACTTGCTTGTGCACTTCTCTTAAAATTAATATCCACGATCCGAGAAAGCGAATTTCGTAGCAATATTCTGTGTCCATTTTCCACAAATGAATTTTCAAGTGAAAAAGTGATCTAAATTTTTATATATACCTAATATATTTAACCAAACACCAAGTTATAAATGGCAACGTGTCTCGAAAGATTACTCGTTTATGTACCTTGCAGATTTCCGCACCAACTCAAAAGAGACGCGGTCCTTTCCATTCTCTTTTCCATAGGAATCAAATTTCCAAACTCAAACTAACAAACCACTGCATTTCTTTTTAACGAAAACATTACAAAAAATTGTTAACAAGAATTGAAAACAAACGCATTTAACGAATTTGTTAGTAATCAGGGCTTTTCCGCGCTTCTGGTGTTACCGAATGCGTTAAACACCACTTAATTAAAGTTTTAATACAGACTCTAGGTTTTAACAACTACTTTCATTTATTAGAATTAACTGCTTCGTAGGCCACGTCTTGTAAGTAAACTCTTTTTTTATTACAATTCTTATTGAACGTCGCTCTTTTGCTTTTAAACTGCATTAGATTTTAAATTTTAATTCTCTTTTTGTAGACCACTAGGATCTAACATAAATTTCAAACCAAACATAAAACGATTTGTATGTAAATTTATCAATAAGCTCATCGCTGCGCTAACCGGTAAATGTGAAAGAGCACTGAAAAAAAAAAAAAATTAGAGCGGGTGGCGATATCTATAAAAAAGAACTAACCTTGCGTACATAAAACCCACGGAAAGATTCGAATCGAACATTCCTTTGACGTAGGCGTTATCGAAATCCCATTTGTAGCAGACGGTGCCTACAGACTTTTGCGTTTTGCGCTGCCAAGCCCACGTGGTAGACATTTGGATTTTCGGATGTAAACGTTGCCAAAAGCTAACATCGACACCTTGACGTGATGCAGTTGCGGCCATTGAAAAGTCGGACTCCATATATCTTCAAACGAAGGGAATGTAAGAAGTTTGTTGTCGCTTCTTATTTCGTATTAGTATACCTAGCCGCAAAGGCGGTATCCGCCATGACAGAAGTAGGATCTGCCCATTCCAACAATAGCTCGCCTCCCAAAGCTATATGATGCGAAACCGACCTCAAAAATGATACGGTCGCTCTGCCGAACTCGGTGCTTACGTTATACAAATTTAAAGTTATAGTAGAGAGATCTCCGCGATATTCAACAGAACCTGTTGCATGCAACGGCAATTCATCGGCAGCTCTTCGCAAGTCGCCTTCAAAGCGCAACCAAGGAACCGGAAAGTAAAGAATACCCACATTTGTTGACATTGTACTCGGATTGATGTCGGCATGTATAACAGGAGTTTCCTATAAATTGTTTTTCAATCGAAAACAGATCAAAATTAATTTAGCAGCACTCACCAGTACGTTGTCACACATGCCATATGCGTAGATACCACCAAACCTGAATCCAGCCGGTTGGTTATGACTTAACACCCAATTCGTTGTTAGTATCTTGTTAGGCGACAAACGATGCGAATAGTCCATCATAAGCCCATCAATAAATTGAGGTTTTAAACGACCAGCCAAATAGTGGAACTGCTGTATACTACCCGGGTTTGAATCCTTAGCACACGGATATAATTGAAAGAATGGCGGAAATTCTGAGAACAGTTTCGGTGGGCACCACTCACTCTTCATTGTGATATTATTCGATATTTTCGTTTTTCCCTTAATGAATTTAAAAAATATACTGACACGCGTTCAAACGTCGCAAAGTTTTTAATTTTCTTTAAAGAAAAATGAAATTTTTTTCTGTCCTATTTTGTTCATTTATTTTCTTTGATTGTAGTTAAGTTGACAGTGTTATGAAAACGAACTAAGATATTTTCTTATTTGGAGTAACGAAAAAACAAACGGTTAGCTTGCATAAAATTTAACCTCATCACATTAATGATGGGATAAGATATATCTTGAAGTTTATACAAAAAAAGCCCTTGCTCTAATAATTATATTCTATAGACAGCAAAAAAAAAAAACGAAGTTTATAATGGTGAAAGTGACAGATGAATTTTGGCGAGCTATCGTTTCAAGCCATTTATACGCTAGGTCCATTCTATGCGAATTACACTTTAACAACTGTGTAATTTTCCAAACTAACCTTATTCTGTAATTTAAGTTGGGGACCTTAACGTGTGATTGACGTTTTGTCCTCCGACTTCTGTGCGACTGCTAGGAAAATTAAATGTAGTCGTCTCGCCATGCAATATCTCGGTGTCTTCAAATGCTCAGCAATAATTTTGATCGCCGAAGAAATCTTGGTCAAATGTACTTAGAATATACATCTTGACATAGACTTGCTAATGCGTTTTCATTTGATGCGCTCTGCTTTGAAAATTCTTCCAAATTTCATTATATAAGTAATAGAAAATAATTCTTATGGACAAAAACGTAACAATTTGTATTCACACAAAAAGCGGTTCAGTTGCAGGCTGTCGTTCAGTGTATATGAAAATATACAGGGATAGATGTCATTTATGGCACTGCATTTTATTCTCTTCTAAAGTGGAGAAAAAACAAGCAGCCGAAGCTACGGAAATGATTAGGTGGGTTGGTATGGATATTATAGTAAGCTATACGAAGTAGTTAGACCGATTTCAGCCTTGAAGATGGTGAGTGTTCGAATACGTTCGTGCGACCCCAGCAAAAATAGGTTAAGATGTGACCTTCAACTTGAATTTGCAACTCCTTAGTGAGGTATTAATCCCCAGACATATTTTCTTGTGATTAGCTCCAGTCCCGATCGATGCGGTCGCACTGTGAAGATCAGCGGTTCCGCAAATCTGAAGATATGCGGCACTGGATCGATCACTATTTCGCCTCGAAACTACCAAGTTTTTGCGGCCAGGGATCTGTGAACTATCCGATAACAGGCGAGAGACCATAGATATTGATGGAATATACATCGATTGTTAATTTTTTCTAATAAGCATTTTTCAATTAAATTTGCGATTTATCAAAAAATACAGATATCTCATATGCGTACATATACTACGCTTACATATTATTTATAAGATGTTATAAGGCGTAACTGGAAATTTATTGCAAGCATGCATTTAAAGCAATAAAAGTCATACAATAACAATAAAATTTAACATATAATGGCAAAAAAGGTGAACTATAGCAAAGCAAAAACCGAAGAAAAGATTTTTCAAATAATATTGTAATGCTATCCATTCTTTCATTAAATATTTAAATGAGTTTTAAACCCTAAAACCGCAGACTATCATCTGACTAAAGCTGTGGTTTTCTTATTGACAAAAAAAAAAACAAACGGATAATAAAATACAAATCCTTCGTGTGTTATTCTTCCTTTGCAGAATCAAAACATCAACTAAAGTAAAAAAGAAAAAAAATTATTTTTGATAAGTTTCAACGTTTCTTTTCAATGTAACGAGCGCAAGAGAGAATTCTCTATAAATTATTGAAAACAAATATGTTGCACCATCATCTCTGCTTACAATGGCGCGGCCACCTACAACTGCTATTGCGTTTATTAATAAATTATTCAAATCATAAAATATCAAGTTGAAAGCGACATTTCCTAGTTGAAAGGAAAAAAGGAAAAAAATTATACTACAACCAACGAGCTATTATCTGTATCTCTGACAGTCTTCAGTTTCCCTTACAACTTTGCTTTTACGTTCTGCTAATGTTCACGTTACCAACGGAAAGAACACCAATGCATCTAAAATTCTTGTCGTTGGCAAAATATTGTTGTGCATTGCTAATGTTTCCAATGTCTATGAGGACAACCCATTAAATGACAATTGACAGCTAAGCTCCTTGAGTGCTCTCTTTATCTACCTATTCTATCGTTTTATTTACAGATTATCGGTAAATGTGCGTGCAAAACAGATCATCAAAGCGATATTAATGCTTAAACATTGTAATTATTTGAGTTCATTTTATTATATGCGCATTATTTCAATTCTAACATTGCTGGAAATAAACACTGGATTCTCTCTAGGTGTAATTGCTTTGTTGTTTCTGAACTGATGTATTGCTAGCAAGCATTAATTATTTGCATTATATTAAAATCAAAATTTAGATTTTCATCATTTATCGCATACGTCTCCCTTGAGTTATTTTCAAGCCTTAGATTTGTTAAGGATTTTGTGTAAGAACGCTTACGTAAATGAATAGGCCGTTATCCAGCTTTACATTATGATGTGAATGAGCGAGTACGAAAGTGAATAATAATTACTTTGCGGGCAAAGGAGTGTAACGAAATAAACGAATTTACGTGGAATCTACAACAGCAAAATGTGTGTAGGTGCTCGTGCATAGGCAGGTTATGTAGAGGTGCTATATAAAACATATATATACTTATAACTTTAAAAATTTCACAGCAAAATGATTCACATGTATAAAGAACATTACTGTATGCGACTACTGTATGTGACGTGTCCTTCAGTGCACACATATTTGGTATAAACATAAACAAATGATATTCGCTTGCTTGCATATTGATATAACCATCGCGAACGGCTATATGCATGTGTAGGTTTCTTTAATAAAACGGGAGACAAACAAGAGGTTGGTTTCGAAACCATGTGTGCATAAGCTAGCGTGCGACTAAGTTAGTGCGTTTATGTAGAATAGTAAGAATACTTTTAATAGAAATTTGAGAAAAGTTCGCTAATACTAGCGTCTGATCGTTTTCTTGAATAGTTTATTCTGTAAAGATTAAAAGCCACCATTTACTTCGCTCTTTACTTTACTTTATTGTACAGGCTAGCAACGAACGTTCCGGCAAGTAACCGCGGCGAAGGTTTCATAAACCGTCAAAGGGAATCAACTAAGTGCCTGATATGGGAAATTTTGTTGCAAAAATATCTCTCTCCTCAAAAGCTGCTAATGAAATTATTCCCAGATTATTAAGAACAATAATAAGCGACGAATTTCAATGGATATGCTGTAACGATATGATGTGGCTTTACTTAGCTTTAGAAAAGTTTTAACCTCTAGCTTCGTTTTAAAAAGAAACCGGCGTACTCATCATATAAAAGTACGCATTTTTAAATTAAAAAAAAATCATATAAATTAGTAAAGAACACAAACAATGATTATTAAAAATAAAATCTGACTTTGAGTCATCACAATCAATAGTCAAATGATTGTTAAGGCTTTTGTAATAAGCTCCAGTGCGACAATTCATTTCAATTTCAAATAAGTCTAAATCATGCCACTAACCCTTTTTTTTAGTTTTCGTCGAAGGGTAACATGGAATCCAAGCACGAAATTCTTTGCGAGCTAGCAAAGGCAATAGCCAAACTAGGTATGCGATAAGAGCTTATGACGTATACTAATGTATGCTTTGCAAAATGTTAGAATAGAAGATGACAGCAAACGTTCCTTCCAACTAGCTAGATTTGTCCCTCACCCATGAAAAAGTTTCTGGATTTATGCTGATGGGGGATCGGCTGCATTTACCTTCATCCGCGTAGGGCGCAGCTCGTCCATAAAGACAATTACGTTGTCCAACTATTGGTCCAGTTTTTAATTCCAGGGAGACTTCCCTAATGGTGCTAACAGTCCATTTTCCACAATAACTCCTTATTCTTGCTGCCGTCGATGGCAACAATTCCCGCGGTATTACGCGGATGGCATTAGGTATATTATAGCAGATCATAAGCACCTTATCAAACCTAATCGAAAGGGTTAAAGTGACTTGAACTGATTGCCTGAAATAAAACAAAAAAAAAAAAAAAAACAGATTTTTTACGTTCGCACACTCTGGCATATGTTAGCTGTTTTTTGTTTTTAATACCTGCAAAAAAAGATCAGTTTAGTGTTAAAACTCTTTAATTGACTTTAAATAAAAAGCTTATGAAAATTAAGCTTTTAATGTAATGTGTACGTGATCTGTTAACTATGTTCAACTGTTCGCGCGGTGCGGTAACAACTTTTTCTCACCTGACATTTAAACATTATACAACACCAACTAGCTACCAACACTATTATATCGGAGTAATTCGTAATACTGATGACTTTTTTTTTTGCTTTATTATTTGTATGTTGCAAACACAAGCTCGCATACATACACTATGAATTTGTTTACTCATGTCACGTTTTTTTGAAAAGAGTTTTTCTTGCTTTTTCCCCTTTTTTGTATATATTTATATATATATATTTTTTTTTTGGTTTGAAACTTTTGTAAAATTTTTGCACATTTTTCCCTTTAATGTTTCAATGAAAAACAGGGTTTTTTTATGCCAAGTGGTATGTGGGGTTATAATGTGGAAGTGTGTGTGTGTTCATCGGTGTGCATGGTTAAGGCGAAGTTGTTCATTTGTTAAGAATTTGAAAGCATTTATCAAAGTTTTCTCTGAGCATATCCCGTAAACGTGTGCAAAAGAGCAAAAAAAAGAAAAAAAAGAATGAAAATGAAAATAAAAATCGTGTATATGTCAGTAAAAGTCTTTAATTTTTTTGTTTTTTTTTTTTTTTCTCTATGAGAGAACACAACTGACCTACATGAAGAAATATTTACAATACTTTAGTGCCTGAAATTCTTATTTAAACTTATTTTAAATACTTGAATTATTTTCAATAAAATTCTTTAGCTTTCCTCTGCCCTTTTCTCTATCTTGTTTTCTCATAGTTGTGCATAGTTTTTTAACTAAGCTTAAGATGAC